GACTTTATAATACGAAATATTTTTTTAGAAGCNCGACTATACCTAGTTTCGTTCCCGATGCAAGTGTTGTGTGGGGTCTCTTACAGATAGTTGTGTAGTACTGAAGAATAATACTTCCTGACAGATATGTGGAGTAACCTATATCAAAAAAAAAAAATTCTCTAGAATTTTGTCTTTTTTTTGGATGAAAAAAAGTTTTTATTATAGAATAAATGTCATATATGCCATTATTTTTAAATGAATGTTTAATTTTTAAATGTCTCAAATTTGGTCCTTAAAGTATGTAAAAAACATAATGCTTCGTTTGGTAGGAAAGAGATAAAGTAGGAGAGATATACTCTCTATCTTTCAAAAAAAGAAAGTNACATAATGCTTCGTTTGGTAGGAAAGAGATAAAGTAGGAGAGATATACTCTCTATCTTTCAAAAAAAGAAAGTAAGAATAATATAATTTTTTTCCTTTATATTTAGTTGGATGGATGAAAAATAAAAATAATTAATTTTTTTTTGTGCTTGGTAAGGTAGAAATTTTTTTATTTTTTTTGTTTTTAAATTTAAATTTTTTTTAAAAAAAATTATAAATTCATATTTTATCATTGTATTTATATATGAAATTAATGTATACATAATATATGTATATNTAGTCTTATTTCAAATGTTTAACTAAATGATACACTCTAGCCGTACTATTGAACCGATTTAATTTATAAATTTACTATTTTACCCTCCAAATAAACAAAAACAATAATAATTAAACAAGATTAATAAAATTCTTGGTCATTAGTACTCTATTACTCTTTATTATTTAATACAATTTATGGTTTTACAATACAATAACATANAAAACAATAATAATTAAACAAGATTAATAAAAAATTCTTGGTCATTAGTACTCTATTACTCTTTATTATTTAATACAATTTATGGTTTTACAATACAATAACAAAAGTTTCTAAAGTAAGCACTATTTCTCAATTTGGCATTTTAATTTCTGTCAATGTCAATGGAGTCTCGTCAGTTCCTAAAGTTTTCAAATTAGACTCTCAACAGTCCAATCAAAGACAAACTGTTTGCAATGACTAACGGAATTGACCATGTATGATGGACATTTTTTCAAGTTGTTTTCTAAGTAATTTTGCACCACCATTTTGTTAGATCATTTTAGAATCACCTTGAATTAGGAACAAAGTGAGGTATTAAAGTATATTTTTATGGATTAGTACTCTATTTTTCTCCAGCATTACTATTTTATTTAAATCTTAGTCTAAATTTTGTATTACAAATATATTTACACCACACACACATACACTGTAATGGGGCTCAAATTATTAATGTTTTTATTTAATGTGCGGGGCAGATGCATTTGAGCCCCACAACAAAATATGTGTGGTGGTGCAAATGTATTTAGAATACAAAATTTAACCTCTAAAAGTCCGAGAAAGATGATGATTGCCCAATGTTGATTTGCCGATAAAGGTGCTAAGCTGGGTAGATTGTTGTATAGGCTATAGACTTGGGACTTGACAAGTGGAATAATTTATTATTTTTGTGGATATTTTTGTAATAAAAAAATATATTATTTTTGTGGGTGATTTATCACTTTTGTTGGTATTTTTATCACTTTTCTTCAATACAAAAAAATTCACTTTTGTAGTTGGTTTTTTATTTTTTTGAGTACTTTTGTGGTAACTATTTTTTTTGGTAACATAATAGTAGTAAAAACACCTAGAATAATAATAAAAACACCAATTTTTATTTTTTTTTGGTAGCGTTGACAACTCCATACACTAAACCTATAAATAGGGAAATAGGGGAAAATTTGGTTCCACTAATGCTTGCTAAGCTAGAGTTTAGAGCGAAGTTTTTAGCATCTTTTTGAACAGTTATTTCAAATTATATTAGTAATACTTCTTTTTCGGTCTTATAACATAATTGGAAAGCAACAAGAAGCTAATTTCATTTTATTTTTGTTGTATTTCTTTTCGGTATTAGGTAGATTCCACTTTCTATGAAACGGAAGTTTGTTTCTTATCGGTGAAAAAAAAAATGCTTGCTGGTGCTATAATTGCAATACCTCTACCTATCTTTCTTCATTTTCTTAGCTTGAATGTGTTTTTTTTCTGGGTAAGTTTGAATGTTAATGTCTGTCAGTCTGAAATGAGGAGAAGGAGCAAAGAAACACTGAGAAAGGCATATCTTGGTGCAAGAGCAAAGATCAGAGAAACAGAGGAGCCAGAAGAATCGTCGAAAGTGGGTTCAGCATCCGCCATTATTATCAATGGAGAAAAGCTTGTGATAGCAACCATGGGTGACTACAGAGCTGTTGTCTGTAGAGATGGTGAGGCTCATCACATTAGCAGAATGCACCAGCAAGTAACAAATAGACACTGGTCCAGAATATTTTATCCAGGCATGTTCTCATTTTTCCCTCTCCAATTTCTGCAAAAAAATTTTAATTTCATCTAGATTTTATGAAACAATTCACTCTCGGAGTTAGGATGATATATAGTAGCANAGAATATTTTATCCAGGCATGTTCTCATTTTTCCCTCTCCAATTTCTGCAAAAAAAATTTAATTTCATCTAGATTTTATGAAACAATTCACTCTCGGAGTTAGGATGATATATAGTAGTAAAAGTATTGGACAAACAACCGTGAAATTTTACGGTTTGAACTGTTTGATATTGTACAAAGTATAAAAAAGGTTAAATTTACATTCATTCCACAAGACGACAGAGTTTATAATGACTAAATTGTTCATGGTCCAACGGGTCATGAAGAATTTAGAGTTATTATCTTGTGGAATGGTGAATGTGTCCGACAATCCACACAGAGGTTGGTTCAATGGTCGAATAAGGGGACAAAATGTAAACTTGAATCTTGAATTCTAGTCCCATATGCACACAAGACTCGGGTTACACCAATGTGCATTGTTTGTGGTGATTGTTCATATTCGAGTTTCTGTTCCCACCATGAGTCCAGCACCTAATACTCAAACATTGGCTCAAAACATTTTCTCTACCCATTCTTACCTTGAAAGAGCAGGGTCACCTTACGGCATTGCTTGGCCCTCCCGTCACTTCATTATTGCAAACGGACTACTCAAGTCTTTGGAATGTGACCATTATTTCATCTAATGCTTTCACTAACATTTTTTTTTTTTTTGTGGATGTTTGATGATTGTTCTATACCACATACCACCAGGTGCAATACGCCTGGCTAAAGTACGTCTATTAGGGTGGGACTCCGGAGGTGCAGCTAGAACCAAGCCCACAAAAAACTCACAACTTCTTGTTGGATCTCAAAGAATAGATGCTGATACTGAATTTCTCATCTTAGCAAGCAGTGGCATTTGGGAGGTAAAACTAAAACACACTTGATAGTACTCGAGCATTTCTTTCCATTATGTTTTCCACAGATTTGGATCATAGGTCACCCGTGCACGAATTTTATTATAGAAAAGTAGGTTCTTCATCGATATAGGACGAGAGCTTTACCACTGAGAAAAAGTACATTGGAGCATATCTAAAACTGTTTTTATCCAATATGAAAAAATAAAAACAAAAATCCAGACAAAGGAGGCCAACCAATTCCTGAATCATGGGATGACAACTTCCTTAATTCATTGGTGGCTCAGTGTGTTGCATTATGTTAAGTACTCATGTTTATTGTAATGATTTCTCTGGTTTGAGATCTTATTAATATATATATATATATATATTTAAATGTATTGAGGGAGCCCACTATGTATTAGTGGGTCCCATTTGAATTTTATGATGAATGATCTATCTGTGAGAAAAAAATGCATTGGATATGATCCAAATTCGATTTCTCGCCCTATCTATGTGTGTGTTCTTGGATCAAAATCACCTCCAGTACATATTATATATAAATGAGTCTCCCATCTATACATTGTACTATTGAGAAAAATTGCAAAAAAATGTATTAAAAAGGATCGTTGTTCTTCATGTATGAATTACACAACTCAATTACAGTTTAAAACAATATCAATATAAATGAGAATAGGCAACCCTTATGGCCTGATTTAAAACCCCACCAATATACTTTCATTCAATTTCAGTAAATAGTAGATCATCCGTCCTAAATTCAAACGGGAATTACTATATATAAATAACTCCCCACCAATACACTATAGGAATATCATCAAGAAAAATCGAAAAAGACANAGATCATCCGTCCTAAATTCAAACGGGAATTACTATATATAAATAACTCCCCACCATTACACTATAAGAATATCATCAAGAAAAATCGAAAAAGACAATATATCTAAGATAATATGTATGGATCTATTATGAGCTTTGTGTATGTGGATAGAAGCCTTGTTGAACGACCCCCACATATGATCCCTATTCCCTATGTGTTCCCTTGTTATTTCCTATCCAACCTACAAGTTCTACAATTCCATATATTTATCATCTGTGTTTTGTGACAACAACAGGTGATGAAGCATCAAGAGGCTGTGAACCTCATCCGGCACATAGACGATCCACAAGAAGCAGCTGAGTGCTTAGCAAAGGAGGCTTTAACTAGAATGAGCAGAAGCAACATTTCTTGCTTGGTCATTCGTTTTGACTGATACGATGCCATGTTTGTCAAGACTTACTTCCAATTTCATCAAATATTTTCGCAATAAATGCTTTACAGTCATGAGACTTCTTTTATGAAATGAACCCCCCCCCAAAAAAAAAAAGAAACAAAAAAAATGAAGTTGCCTTCGAATTTGCTAGTGCAAAATCATGCGCCCAAGGGACTACTCAACTGATCATATGCTCTAAGAACTGTGGATACCCCAACATTGAAAAAAGAAAATTCTTTTTTTCAGGATAATAAAAGCAATGCTCATACATACCGCTAACAAAGCCAAATCTTCTGCCATGATTTGAGGTGTACAAGTGACTACCTAGTCATTACCAATGATGTCAAGGGATACCCTGCATATGAAGTACACTTATACATTCATATCAAACCATAGTATTCCCAAACCAAGAAATATTTCATCCCAAGTTGGCACAATCAGACAACTAATCTTTTCAGTAGTAAGTTTAAGAGGGGGAGCTCCAATTCAATTCACCTTTTTGCGAATTGAAATATAGATTTGAATGTACAATGACCTACTTTTTTTGACAACAACATAGTTTACAACGAAAATGTATTCAGGCACAGGGAGTGATACACAGAACAATAGTACACCATTTATAAAAAATCACACACAAAGGAAAGCCAAGATGTGAAAACAATTGCTACAACCTTACCTTAATGATCTCCACACTCATGTGGCCACCTTCTTTTCACTGGTCTTGCTACGAAAGGGCGACAACAAAGAGAAATGGCGTGAAGCTGTGGTGAAATAAAAAAAAAATGATTGAGATCCCAAATCACTATGATTCACGAGGTAATTAGTCTGGAAGAATGTAGAACAGTGAAGTAAGCACTTACCCNAGAAATGGCGTGAAGCTGTGGTGAAATAAAAAAAAAATGATTGAGATCCCAAATCATTATGATTCACGAGGTAATTAGTCTGGAAGAATGTAGAACAGTGAAGTAAGCACTTACACTTTTGTGAACTGTTGCCGGCATTTGGGGTTTCATCCCTCGAGATTAGATTCTTCAATGTATGAACTGATGCCAAGCAGCAAATATAAAGAGTCAGCTCATGAACTAGGTTTGTTTGAATGATATGACTAGAACTGCCAATAGAAATTATTTATTAAACAAGTGATAAGTTTGCAGCATCTACTCAAAAGATTAAGCTGTTTGAGAGGGTGTAACTTATGTATTTATACTTCAACATAAGTATCATATGGAAATGCTCTCAAAAACTCAATATGATTATCTACATAACCATTGTTTTGACTGGGTAAAAGAAATGGGCTCATTAAGATTGTATCAGTAGCATAATAGACACATTAGCATCATTGATCAATTTAGAAGACTGAGGCTTGTTTTACTTCTTCCAATCTCTGAAGCTTCTCTCCTACCATTAGACCAATTTGCTTTAAATTTTAGAGTAAGAAAATATAATAAAATAGACACAAAATAATCCAATCGAGCAGATTCTGATGGAATTTATTAACCGAGATTTCGATTTATCTGGATCACGCTTAAATGTCAAAAGATATAACCAAAAGTTGACTTATTGATGTCAATTGTGAAATATGTAATACAACAAAGGATTGCAGAAATCTCAACTGACAAATATCTCTTTAGATTAGAATCATTGATTAGTGTCAGCTGAGCTCCAGCATGAGATTTATTTGTCCAATTTCCCAAGGTCTACTTGTACCTATTATTACTCCTAGATCTATCTCCATTAGTTTAGGCACTAAACTACTCATTTTATACTACTCTTCATAAGGTGAAACAGTTGTGAAGTGCACATTACCTTCACCAGAAGCAGCAGCATTTGTAGCAGCGTCATCCTGCTCAGAACCATTTACACTAGCAATATCTGATTCAACACTCCGGTCACCTGCAGTTGAGGTGTGGTTTTTCTTTCCAAACTTCAAAAGTCGTCTAAACCCTTTTGATGATTCCTTTACCCGAGGCTTTTCCATGTCCTCTGGAATCATCTCTACTTTTAAGCTTTGCACATTAGAAACGTGTGTTTTAACAGTATCGACATCTGTTGATACCATTGCGGAGCTTGCTGGGGGTGCTTTCCCATACTCAGAATGTCCAGTACACGGGTCCTCTAAAGATGAGACCCGAGCATAAGGGGCTTGATAAGATTTTTCAGCAGTAGTGATGCTTGTAAGCTTCGGCAATTCCTTCTCCGCATAATTTGTTGCCACCTGATCATCAAAGGATACTGTTTCAGAAAAATGAGATCAACTAAATAATTTAATTGACACACTGCGACATAATACGCATTACTATTTTGGAAAGAAAAAAACTTAATAAATCTTAAATGGAGGAAAATGAACTAGTTTGTTACTGTATACTTATTGATTTATGCTTTCCCATTTAAATATAGGTTCAAGTGTTGTTCTTTGAGTATAAATGACTGCAACTGCCATACATGACACTGCATCAGAAGTAAAATGCAAGCTGAATTCAGGTGTATATCACTGAACAAAAGTGCCACTGAGCATTGCTTTGAAGAGTAACAATTAATTTTGATAAATGGAAAAGGGGCATAATCAATTAAACTAGATCTAGGAATTACTACACTTACATCCTCAATAATCTCCTGTAGGAAGACCTGACGAAGATAGTTAGACCATGGAATTCACATCCTTTTGATACGAATTATAGAGAAATAACTTGTGATGAAAGTAAATTTGGTTTTACCAATCCTACCTCACAAGAACTGGCTTCCCCCTGTAGTTGGCTTGGTTTGAATTCTCTGCCACCTCCATCCATAGGTAATGGTGGTGCACGAATAGCTGCATACTCTGGTGCCACCTCAATTTTCTCTCCCATGTCATGATTATCATAATGCCCCTCAAGTGACCCCATTTTCTCCTCTAATGCTTGCGCAGCAAGAATAGAGGGCTTCTCACATTCCAGCATCACAACAGTTTTCTCAATAATTGGGTTGTCATCCACATCACTCTGATGTGATACTTTGTTATTGTTCTTGTTCCGTTCAGCACTATCGGAAGTTACAGAAGCCATGCCTCCATTCACCTTCGCTGCTGATTTATTCTGGACTACATTAGAAGGTCCTTTAGATGTCCTGATCTTCAGTTCTGGAAGAGTTGCGGCTTTACTTCTATCAAGGTTCATAATAGCAGATATTTTCTTGCTCTCAGGTCCATCAGATACCTTTGGCTTTGTTATCTGGTTGGAACTTCGCACCTTTACTGAAGTAGCAATATGACTGCCAATTGTTTTGGGCTCTGATAATCTTCTAATCCGCACCATAGAAGCTTTCGAATCAGGAGTAGCACCACTGCTTTCTTTCTTTGGCTCAGATAATGATGACGCGGACCTACTCAACTTATTCCCTGCCAAGTGGCTGCCATCACTGGATCTGCTTGCTTTAGAGGCTTTGTGAAAATCATTGGATCCAATTGAAGCAGTTTTTATTTTGGATCTCTGCAGAGGTGATGATGATCCTGGCTCTGAATCACTGAACTTGGATCCCTTGTGATTGACGGTGGAAAGTTTTGTCGGCAACTTTCTTGATTGCAGTGAGGGCAATTGTGACTGAGCAGATGTGGAACTGCCTCTCGCTGCAATTCTCTTTTGCCTCTCCATCTTCAAAGCTTCAATTCGTTTTAAATCTTCCTCTTCCTGTAAAATGACTAAATATTAGATATAAAAGTCCAGTGAAAAGGCTAAACATAGTAGCTAGCAAAGAAACATGGAGGCAAAAACTAGCCATGCCAACTGGTTTTATATGGCATATGTAAGAATTGAAGTGGCCTAGCCACTTTGCCACGATTGTTCAAATCATTGTGCACTTGAACAATTGATAAATAGTAAGCAAAACTACCTTCTCTTTCTTCATTTTCTGGAGATCAGATTTGTAGGCTCTTAGCTTCTCGGCACGTGCTCGTGCGTCATCTAAAGGACTTATCTTTGATGGCTTTCCTTTTCTTATTGGCCCCCCGGTCTTCTTCTCTAAATTATCTGGAGTAACTTTTGACTTCCGCTCCTTGCCTTTGTTAGAACTTTGCTTGACATCAGTCACAACTTCCTTATTTCTTTTTTCAAGGGAAGCGGCATCGTCACAAACCTGCATTGCATAGTCCAAACTGGGGTCATATCCAATGGACCTCTTTTCTGTTCCACGTTCAGGCATCAAGCTTAGATCATCAGGCTCATAATTGGTCTGACTTTCTATCCCATTTAGATTGTTTTCCGACTTCTGATGTGTTGATGGGAGCTCAGAGTCCATATCAATAGCAGTTCTGTCGTCAGTTCCAGCTTGATCTAGTGGCATTGACCTGAATGGAACTATGAAGGATTCATCAGTGATATCATGTGATGATTTTCTATCCAAATTACCGGTTGCAGGGTCAAATCCATTTACAGTCAGTGGATCTGATGAACGCCCCAAACCTGATTGGTTTTCTCTTCCATTCATCATAAAATCATCATTTGCCTTCCTCCTATACATAACCTTTCTTCCATCTATTTCTGTGAAATGTATATCCATTTGGTCATCAACAGGCCCCCTGTGATCTTCATATCCAGAAATTGGAATTTCATCGTTTGACAACCTGAGCTTGCGAGATCCATTTCCACTGTCCCTGTGGAAATCAGTCATCCTCCTGTCTTGTATTTTAACGGGAACTCGTCCCCCAAGAGCCAAAAGATCATCACCCATTTTATTTTGGCGTCTCTTCATTTGAACATCTTTCTCCATGGCAAACATGCCTTCCTTGGCAGCGTGATTATCTTCATCAGCACCTCTCAATAAACAAGTTTGAAATGCTTGCCAGTGTCCACCATCTGTCTCCTTTTCATAAGTAATTTCTTCCTTATCATATAAATTTGATTCATCTGTAGACTTTGCATGGCTTCCTTTTCTTCTTGAAGATCTCAAAGTGTTCTTATGCATCATATCTGGATCATCAGCCGGCAAACCTTCACCATACACGTCAGTTTCAGAGTCAGAAGCTGAATCTGACTCACTACAAGCAGAGTTCTTCGCATTTTTAGTGATGTAATTAATGTTCCGAATGACAACCATGCCTGATTGCTTTTTACCAGATCGTCCTGCCTTCTTCCGTGATTCTTGGCTCTGTGAAGCTTCCTTCTCCAACTCCAAATCATCCTGCGATCGTGTTTTGGAGGCATCCATCTCCCATGCTTCTGATTCAGTGTTGCTATCTCTACCATCCATGGACTGCCTTTTCTGCCCTGTTCTATGATTAGCATTGAGATGAGAATCGCCCATTGGTGGATAATGTGGCTGATAAAATGGGCCATTTCCTGAATAATTCTGATAGTAGGGCATTCCCTGCATGGGATATGCTTGAAAGACTGGTAAGGCACCAGGTGGAGGATGAATAGGCCAGGGAGGAAACATAGGATGGGGAAACTGGCCGTGAAAGTATTCTTGTTGACCAACTGGCATTTGATGATTCGTAGGAGGCCTATCTCCTGGGCAACAAGTGGACATAATTAGCTTATCAGTAAGAGAAAGATAGTAAGAAATAATTTTTGAAGTTCAAACTGGTAAAAATGAAAAAAAAAAAAAATTGACAAGCACACCATAGTTGTCAAATTATGTATCCAAAGGCATATTGTTTTTTAAAAATAGTGTATCGTATCGTATCATGTATCGTAAGATACGAGCAATTTTAATTTTTACATAATTATTAATAAAATATATGTATATACCTTTATAAAAAAGTTATAGACTCATAATAACATAGTATTTCATTAATATTCCACCAACTATTCAAGTTTTCAACATAGGTAAGTAATATCAAAATGCAAATGCCTCTAATTCAAACTTCTAACATTAATTGCTTGAACAATTTTAATATTAATCAGGAAATTTGAATTTAATGGAACAACATTAACATAAGACTTTATTTATTTTTTTTAAACTATAACCACTGAAACGACGTCGTTTCACCAGCTAGTGATTTAAAAATAAATCCTACAGTAAAATGATGTTATTTCAACCCAAAAAAAAATAAAAAAAAATAAAAAAACAGAATCATCACGTATCAGGTGTATCGTATCATATCGTACGTATTGTATCGTGTATCATACGATATGGTGCAAAAATGAAACAGAGACACGATACGTATCGTTTTTCAAGTGTATCATGATGTGTCGTATAATACGTATCGCATATCGTACAATACTAATAACTATGGAGCACACAATAAGACTGTTAGGGTATTTTAGTATTAGTATTAAGGATAGTTTAGTCATGTACCTTGTTTTATGTTGCCCTACTATATAAGGGCCCCTACTATGTATCTTAATTGATCCATAACATATTCTTCCTTCCTTCTTTTCTTTTCCTTTTCTTTTCTTTTCTTTTCTTTTCTCCTCTTTGGTTGATCAATATTTACATGGTATCAGAGCAAGTTCCGATCCTAAACACAATGTGCACAACAGTTGTATTCATCAACATTAGGGCTGAGATTTGGAGCTAGGGCAGACATTATCACACTAACAGAAGATGTCAGAAACCCAGAACCACCTCCTTGCTCGATTCTTCATGGGTAACAACATGGTACAATTGGTTTTTGATTTTGAGGTCAGATTGTTGGGTTTCTGATTTTTCGAATATTTTTGGGATAATTTTCTGCAATTTTTGAGATCCAAAATCTGGGATGGATTTTGTTGATTTTTCTAGTTCAAATCCCTTGTACAAGGTGTGAATCAGGCCTTTGTGTGTGTGGGCATGAGATTCGAAGGAGTTTGAAGTAGTTTGGGGTGAATATCTTACTGTTCTTTTCAACTGGACTTGTTCGCTGCACTGTGAGGAGATCTGGCTTTTGTTCTGGTTCGTTGTTGCTGGTTTTGATTCTTGTTCTTCTAGTTCCTCTTCTTCTCTCCTTGGCTTGCTGGAAGACTTTGCTGCCCTACTGGGCAGTGTTGCTCGTCTGATCTGCTTTCTTTGTGTACTGTTAGTAGAAGTGTTGGCTTGAAGTGTTGTTGGTTGGCTTCACTGCTGATTGTGTCTTGCTTCGCTGCTCATTGTACTGGGCATAATTTTTTTTGTGAGCATTGATCTTGGAATGGATTTAGTGTGATCTGGTCATGGCAAATGGGAGTTCCGTTCATGGTTTTGTGAGCATAGTTATTCGGCTTATGCCATGAAAAACTTTTTGCTTGGTAAAAATGTAAAGCTATGTTCATGGTGTTGTGACAACTCCTCCAAACACTGAGGCAGAAATGTATGCTAATTTGAAGAACCATTAGGAGATTAATAATCCCAAAGTCATTACCAGGATTAACAACTCTGTTGATCAGAATATTTGTTTGTTCAGTCCAATTTTGCAAAACGATATCAGCTTGAACATGAAATTAGAGCTACACATCAAGGTGACTATTGGTGATTGCTGCTATGATCCCTTTACTCATAAACTTCATATCTCTCGTCATTTTGTCTTCATGGAGCATATTCCTTTCTTCTCCATTTCATCTAACTCTTCATCTGTGCGTCAATCTTATCTTATTTACATTATCCCTTTCCAGTTGATGTTTCACATAATACATATGTTGGTAATATATTTGTATCTAATGTGCCACCTTCCTCTTTTTCTTCTCTTTCTTCTGATTTATCTGTTACCGACCGCCATCCCTCATACTTACACTCATAGGACTCCTACAATCTGTTATTTGGATGTAGTGTTTCCCCTTCTTCTCCAATTCCTCAATCAGATTCTAATGCTGTGGATCATGCTTCTCAGCTCGCTATCCTACGCGTGCTCAAAAGTGTACGGATAGGTTTGATTTCTCCAACTCGTGTTATTCTTCTAACTTTTGTTCTTTTCTCACTTCTATTCACTCCCTATTTGAACTCACCTCCAATAAGAAGGTTGTACTTGACCCTCTTTGACAACAGGCAATGGATGAAGAGCTATCTATCTTACATAAAATTTAAGTTTGAGAGCTAATGAGTTTACCTCGTGCCAAATGCACAATTGGCTTTAAGTGGGTTTATAGGATTAAAACGCAATCTGATGGTTCTGTGGAGAGGAGTAAGACTAGATTAGTTGACAAGGGGTTTGCTCACGAGTAAGGCCAAGGTTACAAGGAGACTTTTGCCCTTGTTGCCAAGATGACTACAATCCGTATTGTAATTGTAGTCACTGTCATTGATAAACGGAGCTTATCTCATATAGATGTGAAAAATATTTTTCTCCATATTGATTGTCTGAAGAAATTTTCATGACTCCTCCTTCTATACTGTCTCATTGTTCTAGTCAAGTATGTAGACTTCACAAGGTATGGTTTGTGAAGTTTTTCTTAGTCGGACTTGGATTTTTATTCTAGTGACTATGATTCAGCTCTTTTTCTACAATCCAATTTCTCAAATTCTATTACTGTCTTGCTTTATGTTGATTATATGATTGTTATGGCCCGGGTGATGGCACTGTTGGTTTATAACTATTGAAAACTCATTTGCATGAACATTTTGTGATGAAATATTTGGGTCAACTCCAAAACTTCTTGGGGATTAAAGTTGCTTCATCTCCCAAGGGTCATCTCATTTTTTAGTCCAAGTATGCATCAGATGTTATTCATTGAGCTCGCTCATCAGAAAATCAAAAAGTTGAGACACTCCTAGAGTTCAATGTTCATTATTCTTCCTCTGATGGTACTTCATTACCTAATCCTACCATTTACCGTTCTATTTTTGAAAGCTTAGTATATCTAATAGTTACCCGTCTAGATATTTATTATGTTGTTCATGTTGTTAGTTAGTTTGTTGTTTTTCTTACTATTGTTCACTCGTCTCCTGTTTTCCACATTCCTAAATATTTTCGAGGTACCCTATCTCAAAATTTATTATCTTCTTTTTCTTCATTTGTGGAACTCTGCACTTAGTCAGATATTGCCTGGACCAATGACTCTATGGATCGCAAGTCCACTACTAGGTTCTGCCTTTTTCTTGTTGATTCTCTCATTTCTTGGAAGAGTAAGAAGCAAACTATTATTACTCGTTCCTCAGTTGAAGTAGAATACCGTGTTTTGGTATCTACTATTGCTGAGATAGTCTAATTGCAGTGATAACTTGGTGAACATGGCATCACTTTACATGCCCCTATGTATTATGACAACACCCATACCATTTAGATTACTCAGAACTAGGCTTTCCATGAGCATAAAAAGCATATTGAGATTGACTATCATTTTGTGCGCCATCTTTAGCTGAGTACTATTTCTCTTCCTTTTCTTTCTTCCACCATGCAACTAGTGGATTTTTCAACAAAATCCCACACCATCGCACACTTTCGTTTCTTCTTGGCAAACTTTTGTTCACAACTGTGACATCACGAGCTTGAGGGAGGACGTTAGAGTATTTTAGTATTAATATTAGGGGTAGTTTAATCATGTACCTTGTTTTATGTTACCCTAGTATATAAGAATCTCTACTATCATGCTATGTATCTTAGAGTATTGATTATGACAAATTAATTGAGCCATAAAAGAAACAGGAATTAAATTAGAGAAAGCCAAGAAACAAAGAGCAGTCCAACATTGATTCTCAACTCAACTAACCAACATTTACCCAAAACAAAAGGCTTATCAAGCCTTATTCCCACTACTTTTTGGGAACAGTCCAACATTGATTCCTTCAAAAAAAAAACTTGCATTAGACACTTCAAGAATTTATTTATTTCATCTTTTTCCCCAAGAGAATTTCTTGTAGTAGTGCCCTCTCCAAAGCCAAACTGGTGTGGAATGCATGACAGCGGTGTTACTTCTTATGGACATAGATACAAATTGGCGTCTTACAGTCTAAAAATTGAATGTCCATCTTGTGCATGTGCCTTTATGGGTGTGTGTGTGTGTAAAGGAAGAATCAAAACAAAACAGACAAGGGCAAGAATTCTGTGGATTCTTTGATGAGAGATATATAGATTGGAAGATGCGCTTTATGGGTGTAAATAAATCGTTTATGGCATCAACTAATACCTGTAGTTGTGTCGATGCTTGTTTTCCCAATATTTTCTGAAGCCATTTCACTGCAGGATTCATTAAGTTTGTTGGCCACACTAGAAAGCATGATTCCAGATGCATCCATGGTAGAGAAGTCTGATTGGGTAGACATTGCTTCAGCTGCTTCAATTTCAAGCCATTGTCCAGTTTCATGCTTTCTCTTCCACAAATCCATGAACCTTAAGCATGCATCCCTGTTATATGCACAAAGTTAATTATTCACCCAAATGTTGCTACCAGACATAAACTGTTCTCCCAGAAGAGAGTAAGGCAGAGACCCACAACTTTCTAAACAAAGAATAACTGCTTACATCAAACGTGATGCCCCAAAGCATTCAGCAAATGACACCAGTGGTGCCATGTGATCAATGTCAAAACTAGCAGCTACAGCACGTGCAAAAGCCATGCCTTGTTCCCTCTGCAGCACAGTTTTTCGTGTTTCCAGGACTTTCAGAAGCTGGACTCTGATTAAATGTAAACCAAATACAATGGCATCAAAGCTCATAGAACACTAAAGGAATATTCTCATCCATAAAGCCCCTAAGCAGTCACTGCAAACTCTAAAACTTGATTGATGCATCATCAAAAACCGTTGTCACTGCTCATATTCGTCTTCCTTTTGATTACAACATGCTCCAATATTCTAAGTAATGCAAACAAAATTTTTGATCTTAAAATTGTGAAAATGAAAAGAAGGCAATTGTTGCACAACTCAACTCAACAAAATTTTGGCCCAACTATTTGGGGTCAGCTACATGAATCATGTTCTGCAACTATGCTCTATCAAGGACTAAAAAGTAATGCAGAACTAAGGCAGCAAAATGCTTCTTAAAGACAATACTAGGCGTATGGAGGCAACTTGAAATAGAATGGGAACACCCCTCTGTATTAATCCTCAAGTAACAATGACAATTGCATCAGAAATTTTGTCAATAATGATAGCACAGCATGTACCTCGAATTTCCCTCTTGTGCGGTGGACCCATTTGCCTCAGAATAATGTGTGCCAGGCTGCCAGAAAAAGAAATCCAATTACAAAAATATATAAAAAAGTGAATCATTACAGAGGCGACATGATGCCCAATTACCTTGTAAAGAACAATAGCTTTTCCCTCATTAGTATCTGGAATAGGTTTGTTGCCTGTCCCAAATTGTGGGGTGTAAGTTAATATTTTTAACAATAACTAGCAAAATCAGTAAATAGTATACTAAACATCTGATGCAGCACAATACAAGCCTATCTTTATGGAATCATTGCATCAAGATAGGATGAACAAAAAAAACACTTCAAATATTCCCCTGTCGCACCTCCACCACACACACAAATAAAGAAGGAAATATATTATTGAAGTCAGAAGAGAAAAAAGGACGAAAAAAAGTATAAAGGATTAGTCAATCATGGAATGTATATGATGGAACCAATTTTTTTTTTTGGAGAACGAGGGGGAGGGGAGCTAAAACAAAGGCAGAAATGCCAAATAATCCTACTGTACACCATTATGCATTTCAAACATCATGACCTACTATACTGTACCTTCGCTTACCACAGGTTTTGCTTGATGATCTTCTACCTGCCATATGGAAAAAAATTAAAATGCATATCTAAACATGATTCTTCATGACATACAGGACATAAATATATTGACAAACGATGCTCACAGCACTTGGCTCTATATCATTGTTGCCCTGAATGGCAATAGCTTCGTCAATCTGTAAGATCTCAGATTCTATGGTATACACCCGTTCCAAGATCTCTGGAGTGCTCACAAAACGAACAAACCTACAGAAAACCAAGGGATGTTAATCCTGTTTTTTGGTGTCTTTTTTTGTGTGCCAGGGAAAACTAATACCAACAAAGCAACTTTTGTACTGTAGAGGCTCAAAAATGAAGGTCTGCTTTAAGACTGAACAGAAAAACTGCTGAACTGATTAGCATCTGCGATAGTAAAATAATATCTTTGCATAACTAAAGAATAGTGTTTAGCATATTAATCCAGATCCACCACAGCTGCCAGTGTGCCATAGTCAGTTGTGCCAGGCTCTATCTGCAAATGGTGTTAGAAACACTCAACTGCAATCTCTGTGGTAATAGTGTCTTATCATGATCAATTGTTACTGATTTTGGTCAAAAACTTTATTTCATAGTTAGTCATGCATTCTTTATGTGAAGGAAAACATATAAGCCAACATCAAGTTTTGCATCAATAAAACTGTGACTGAGACTAATGTTACACAGAAAATAAGGGGCATAAAGATACTACCAAAAAACAAAAAAACACTTGATTCAATCAGTCATTTCCTTCTCTTTTTCATGATTGGAAATTTTTTGACTCACTTTAAATTTGTGATTTTAGCATAGAGTAAGTTATGATGGAATTTGCCTTGTGTTTAACATTTCCTTCTTTATCAACCAGTAAACCAAACAAAACATTAGACTTCTTGGTGTTTGACCAGAATTTCCTACATGCATCCACATAAACAAACCCAACCTCTGACAAGACACATGTCCATAACTCAATTTCATGAACACCTACAGAGGATCACAAAGACAAACAGACCTTTCCACAGTGCCCTTTGTAAACCATGTAGCATCACTACCAGCTTCTGTTTCAAGTAATATTGAATAACCACCCTTAGCAATCTGATCCTGAGCAGTCTTCAGGTGCGCAAGAAAAGGAGTCAACAAGCCTGAAGCGACTTTCTCTTTCCTTTCATTTGCAATAATAATCAAATCGCACCTGATAATTAAGCAGCAGTTAGGCTTTCAATTGAAAAATGATAGTTGCAAAGTTGAAAATTTCATTGTGGACAACTAAAAATCCTAATAGATCCTTTTAAACCACGCAATCAGAACATATACTGTTCCTGTACAAGAGATATTCAATATACGTAAATGAAGAACAGGAGATAATACAACAGAGGCCAAACATATTTTGCCACAAAACCAAGAAATGTTGAATGAAAATGACAGAAAAATCGAAAAGATGAAAAACAATAGGCCGTACCCAAATTTTTCCTTCTTCATTTTCACAATATAATCACAAGTCAAAGTGTTTTTCATGTTTAATCAAATTTGGAGGGAGATTAGATGTTTTTCCACCATCCTAATGCTCTTGTAGTTTTTTATTTATAAAACACAAAAAAGAAAAGAAAAATCAGCCACATTCACTATTTAATTCTCTCAAATGGAATGGAATCAAGCAATTGAGTGTCACCAAAAAAACATCACTACAATTTTAAGAGGAGAAATGGAAAAAGAATAAGCTTAGAATATATTAGAACAAAAAAGATTCAATACTCAACTCTACTTAATTAAATTATACGTAATCAATACGAATCCTGCCAAAATTTCTTAATAATAACAGAGAAACACATAACTGAATAGATAAAATATCCATTCTACATCAATACAAGTCGACTGAGATCCAACTCTGTGGTAATATCACACTCAGCCAAATCACAAAAACTAGAACTTGAACTCGTATCTATATGATTTTTTTTTTCTTTTGGTCAGGTACTATTACCGGAGAAGACGACGACGCGACGTTAAGATCCAACAACGGGGGCGTTGGCGATTAGGTCAACCACTAACCTCATCTATATGATTAATTGACCTCACAAATTTCGTGGTATTAGATGTATAAACGATAGATTGAGGGAAATTTACCTCGTCCGAGTAGGCGTGAGCTGGAAAATAGCAGAATCGAGCAGAGTACTCGACTTCATTGTCGTTCAAAGCCGATCAAAAAATATTCTAACAGCTTCAAAGCTACGGGACAGATCTCGATACCGATCAAAGGAGCTCTCAAATCAAAATCACTGAATTTTCAACAAAAATAAGAAAAGTAAATAGAACTTTAAATCTGCGAAATGCAACGAGTCTTCTCATCCATAAATGGCCTCCACAGAGAGCTTTCAGTCTCAGAAAGAAAGTTAGCAGAGGAATTTGCAGAATCAAAAGGTGAAAGCCAGAACTTGAACGATATGCTTTACTGGCTGCCTTCACATACATTCATCCACAATAATAAAGAGTGTTTTAGAGAGAGAAAGATGAGAGAGACAGTGAGAGAGTAGGCGACATTGAAAGTTTTATATATTATATGAAACAGACACAGTACAGTACTTTATATACATATATATATATATACATATATATATATATATATATGTGGAGAGAGAGAGCTTTGGATGCCCGACCGGAGATAATGGGGGAGGTGCTGAGAAATATCTCGCAAAATGGACGTTGAAATTCGCCCGGGGTGAACGTGGAGGGGTAATTTGGGGAATCGGAGTCTGAAACAGAGAGCGATGCGGCGGGCGACAAGGCAGAGAGGACAAAGGAGTGGAGACTTGGNGAGAAACACATAACTGAATAGATAAAATATCCATTCTACATCAATACAAGTCGACTCAGATCCAACTCTGCGGTAATATCACACTCAGCCAAATCACAAAAACTAGAACTTGAACTCGTATCTATATGATATTTTTTTTTCTTTTGGTCAGGTACTATTACCGGAGAAGACGACGACGCGACGTTAAGATCCAACAACGGGGGCGTTGGCGATTAGGCCAACCACTAACCTCATCTATATGATTAATTGACCTCACAAATTTCGTGGTATTAGATGTATAAACGATAGATTGAGGGAAATTTACCTCGTCCGAGTAGGCGTGAGCTGGAAAATAGCAGAATCGAGCAGAGTACTCGACTTCATTGTCGTTCAAAGCCGATCAAAAAATATTCTAACAGCTTCAAAGCTACGGGACAGATCTCGATACCGATCAAAGGAGCTCTCAAATCAAAATCACTGAATTTTCAACAAAAATAAGAAAAGTAAATAGAACTTTAAATCTGCGAAATGCAACGAGTCTTCTCATCCATAAATGGCCTCCACAGAGAGCTTTCAGTCTCAGAAAGAAAGTTAGCAGAGGAATTTGCAGAATCAAAAGGTGAAAGCCAGAACTTGAACGATACGCTTTACTGGCTGCCTTCACATACATTCATCCACAATAATAAAGAGTGTTTTAGAGAGAGAAAGATGAGAGAGACAGTGAGAGAGTAGGCGACATTGAAAGTTTTATATATTATATGAAACAGATATATATATATATATATATATATGTGGAGAGAGAGAGCTTTGGATGCCCGACCGGAGATAATGGGGGAGGTGCTGAGAAATATCTCGCAAAATGGACGTTGAAATTCGCCCGGGGTGAACGTGGAGGGGTAATTTGGGGAATCGGAGTCTGAAACAGAGAGCGATGCGGCGGGCGACAAGGCAGAGAGGACAAAGGAGTGGAGACTTGGCGGTGAAAAGTTGTTTGTGAAATTACAGAAATACCCAAAGTGATGGAATGTCCAGTAGGTAAAGAGGGAGTGACCGAGAAGTGGCTGATGCTAAATTGCGCGTGAAGTGAAACTTCATGTGGCTGCAGTCAAACTATCTATCAAATATTTTAGTTGAATCGTCACTTATTAGTTATCATCATACTTGTTGTCTACATCCATAGACAATGACAAATGCGTCCCCCACCAAACTTTTTTTTCCTAACATTACACACACGTATATTTATATAATAAAAAAAATTTTTAATTTAAATCTCAAAATATAAGCAAAATGATTTTTACTATTCACGGCTGAAATCGTTTTAAATTTTACTTTAAAAATCTAACAGATAATATTAACACCCTAAATTTAATAGAAAAAATAGGCTTCTAATAGTGTGTTTTAAGTGACTTTCTAAAAGTACTTTTAAAAATTATTTTTTTTAAAAATAGTGTTTGAAATCGCTTCACCACTACCTCTACCACCTCCACCCCCACCTCCACCTCCACCGCCATCGCCACCATGACCACAACCACCACCATCACCAACGCCACCGCTATCGCCACTGTTGCCACTATCGTCGCCACCACCATGACTATCTCAACCACTCTCGTCGTCATCACGATCTTTGCCACCTACTACAACCATCACTATTTTCTATCACCATTATTACTGCCCACCACCTCTTACCTCCACTACAAATCGATATTTAAATTTTTTTATCTCTTTTCTATGTTTATAATTTAATTTTGGATATGAATACAAATATGTTTATTATTTACTATNGCTGCAGTCAAACTATCTATCAAATATTTTAGTTGAATCGTCACTTATTAGTTATTATCATACTTGTTGTCTACATCCATAGACAATGACAATTGCGCCCCCCACCAAAAAAAAACTTTTTTTTCCTAACATTACACACACACACACGTATAATTATATAATAAAAAAAATTTATAATTTAAATCTCAAAATATAAACAAAATGACTTTTACTATTCGCGGTTGAAATCGTTTTAAATTTTACTTTAAAAATCTAACAGATAATATTAACACCCTAAATTTAATAGGAAAAATAGGCTTCTAATAGTGTATTTGAAGTGACTTTCTAAAAGTACTTTTAAAAATTATTTTTTTAAAAAATAGTGTTTGAAATCGCTTCACCACTATCTCTACTACCGCCACCGCCACCTCCACCTCCACCTCCACCGCCACCGCCACCTCCACCTCCACCTCCACCGCCATCACCACCACGACCACAACCACCACCACCACCGTCACCGTTATCGCCACTGTTGCCAGTATCGTCGCCACCACCACAACCATCTCAACCATTCTCGTCACCATCACGATCTTTGCCACCTATTACAACCATCACTATCTCCTATCACCACTATTACTGCCCACCACCTCTTACCTTCACTACAAATCGATATTTAAATTTTTTTATCTCTTCTCTATGTTTATAATTTAATTTTGAATATGAATACAAATATGTTTATTGTTTATCATTTTTTATTGCTATATGTCTTTTAAGTATAGATAATAACTAGTATATATAAATAATTTCTTTAATCTTAATTATGCCCCCCCCCCCCCCCCCCCCCCCCCC